TCAACAAGGTGCTGAAAGCATTCTTTAGAAATGTTGATAGCATCTTGCAGTTGATGGATATTTGTGGGATGCACATCCAGGGCACGAAGCTCCCGTTCCATCACATCCCAAAGATGCTTTATTGGGTTGTGATCTGGTGACTGTGGGGGCCATTTTAGTACAGTGAACTCATTGTCATGTTCAAGAAACCAATTTGAAAGGATTCAAGCTTTGTGACATTATCCTCCTGATTCAGGCTTTGTGACTGTGGTGCATTATCCTGCTGGAAGTAGCCATCAGAGGATGGGTACATGGTGGCCATAAAGGGATGGACATGGTCAGAAACAATGCTCAGGTAGGCTGTGGCATTTTACCGATGCCCAATAGGCACTAAGGGGCCTAAACATCCCCCACACCATTACACCACCACCAGCAGCCTGCACAGTTGTAACAAGCAGCCCAAGGCATGATGGATCCATGTTCTCATTCTGTTTATGCCAAATTCTGACTCTACCATCTGAATGTCTCAACAGAAATGGAGACTCATCAGACCAGGCAACATTTTTCCAGTCTTCAACTGTCCAATTTTGGTGAGCTCTTGCAAATTGTAGCCTCTTTTTCCTATATTTGTAGTGGAGATGAGTGGTACCAAGTGGGGTCTTCTGCTGTTGTAGCCCATCCGCCTCAAGGTTGTGCATGTTGTGGCTTCACAAATGCTTTGCTGCATACCTCGGTTGTAACGAGTGGTTATTTCAGTCAAAGTTGCTTTTCTATCAGATTGAATCAGTCGGCCCATTCTCCTCTGACCTCTTGCATCAACAAGGCATTTTCGCCCACAAGCATACTGGATGTTTTTTTTTCCCTTTTCACACCATTCTTTGTAAACCCTATGATTGTGTGTGAAAATCCCAGTTACTGAGCAGATTGTGAAATATTCAGACCGGCCCATCTGGCACCAACAACCATGCCATGCTCAAAATTGCTTAAATAACCTTTCTTTCCCATTCTGACATTCAGTTTGGAGTTCAGGAGATTGTCTTGACCAGGAACAACCAGGTTGATTAGATAATTGCATTCATGAGAAACTGAACAGGTGTTCCTAATAATCCTTTAGGTGAGTGTAAATAATATATGTGATACTGGGTTAGGTTAGGGTTAGGGTTTGGGTTAGAGCTCTTCATTCATAAACACATGCCATTAAACAATTATTTTAAATATACTGTCTTGAGCATGTTGTTTCTAGATTACAGTGGAAATCGAGGCTCACATTATTTACATTTTTATTTACACACAAAACATTAATGGCTAAAATTTTGACTTTATAAAATGATTCTCTAAAGTCTTGCCGATCGATGTATCAATTTGCACATAAAATAACAAACCAGGTGGCTTCCAGATCCTATGGCAACATAACATTAGTTGGGATCTGCATTCCAAAAGGATTGCAAACAAGCTATTTAATTATTTTGTGTAAATGTGAAGGATGGAAGAATCACTTATGGAGAGAAGTCATAAGGAGTGGGTGAAACTTGTTGGATGGAAACATAGATGTCTTGGTTGCACAACCCTATGCATGATCCACCTATAAATGTACCTTTCACCTTATTGATGTTATGAAACAAGAATGTACACACCTCTAAACTGAAGTCACAGATTTTGTTTTGTTGTAAAGTTTAAATTAACAAAAAAATCACATTTTCAATGTGAGCATGTGAAAAACTGCAATAATAATAAAAATAATAAATAAAATAATAATTATAATTAAAACGGTATACAATTTTGAATTTTATGCTAAATTTTGTCAGTCTTGCATCGTAGATGTTCCTTTTGTTTACATGAGCAGTTCCATATAGGAAACTTCCAAACAGTTTAATAAGTTTATTGCTAACTTACAACAAATAGAAACCTACAGTGAAAACAATTCATATCAGAAGATTGTCCTGCACTAACCCTAATACTGCACATTTTCTAGTAGTTAATCTCTCTATAATCACTATTTAAGCCCATCTGATTCATCTCAATGTGTCAGATTTCTGTTATAATGTCAAGAGATGATTTAGTTTACAGATGCTACAATGATGTTTTGAACATGAGTTCACCACATTAATCATGTTTCTGTGGAGCTATTCACAATGCCTTTTGTAATACCAACCTATTTTAGCCAGAGACAGTTCTGATGACATACAAAAATAATGTCTTGAATTCCTACATTTTTAATAATGTATATATTTATTTGCCAATCCTTTGTTTGCAGGTGTAATGTAAATATTTTATCATATGCTTTTATCATAAGATTTTATCATTTGTTTTACTGAAGAAATTAGCTCCTTAGAAAAGTAATAACTATAATAATGTTTTAAAATTTACATAAATGCATTTCTTTTTATTTATATATTAGGGAGCGTTTACATGACAGCTTTCGACTAAAAACATTCTGTTAATTTACACAAAAGCGGTGTTTTGTGGGCCTGAAAACGCAAACTTTTGAAAACAGGTTTTATGGAGTCAATACCGTTATCGTCTCCATGTCGCCAACTACTGGCCTGGCATGAATAATACAGTGTTTTTAGTTGATTTTGTGGATCCTCAAGAACTGAGATTGTTTTAACAAGGGCTTTACCTGAAAAATGCAAAGGAAAAAATGCATAGGGGTGGTGATGGCGCAGTGGATAAGACACATGCCTTTGGTGTGAGACACCCGGGTTCAAATACACTGCGAGACACCAATGTGTCCCTGAGAAAGACACTTAACACTTTGTTGCTCCAGAGGCGTGCAACCTCTGACATATATAGCAATTGTAAGTCGCTTTGGATAGAAGCGTCAGCTAAATGGAAATGGAAAACACTTTTCTGTTTATGAATCATTGCCATGTAAACTTACCCTTAAACGATTTTGCATTCAATAAATACATTTTATCAGTAACCTTTACTTTGCTCTACTGTGTGAGCTTTTGAAAATGTAACAATAAGAATTCAATAAGACTTGCTGCTTACATTCATCACAATATTTATATTATGTAAGCATGGAATTTAGCATTGCATTTGAGCATGAATCTAGGTATATTATTATATAATCAAAACCTAGCAACCAATCCTCACAAACTGCAGATACACAATGGAAAAAAAAATTGGAGTAATTAACGTTTAGATCATCATAATACATTCTCATTCTAATAGGGTGAGGTTTTTTCCAGAGCTTTTGGAGATTTGTGCATTCTCGACCAACTTAACTTTAGAATAGGCCTGTAAACTGAAATGACCTAATTTCTTATTTTGCTTGTGATCTACATTAGTAATTTTAGTGTTTCTCAAAAAATGACAACTCGTTACTTGTGACCTCAATTGACGTATTGAGTGTTTTGGGGGTTTTTTTTCTAAAAGGACAGCGTAATTTTTATTATTATGCACATGTATATGCTCATCTGCATTTTACAGTGACCTCAAATATACCTCACCCAATCAAATGAAATCTATCTATTTTATAATAATTGTTTAGTTTAGCTAATCCAAATGATGTAATGTTTTGCAATCATGCATTGTGTGGGTATACTATTGGCCCTATTGTGTGTTGTGAAAATTCAAGATAAGCCATTGTTTTAAATATAGCCAAAGAATATTTTTTCACATATTATTTACCTATATGGAAGATGTGGGTGATTCTTTAACTATGGTCCTGTAATGTCAAAGAGGTTGATTTAAAATAATATTTTATATTTTTATTGAGTGAAAATTACATAAATTGTCCCAACAAATGTGCACCTTATAAAGATTTTCAAATGTAAGTGTGCTTATTCGCCAAGAAGTCAACAGATGAACATTCCTTGAGATGAAAAATGAGAAAGAAAACAAAGAAAAACCAAGGTAAATTTATACATAGTCAATTCATGAAACTCTTACACATTGTTTTTTCTAATGCCATGGCATTAGCCAATCAGACGTTCATAACCTTATGTTTTGTCAGCGCAGTCTCATCCCAAGATGTCATACAACCGACGCTTTTGACCATAGTACATCATAGAACTCACCACATGCACTCTGTTCAAAAAGCATCGTACAATCTCATCCGATGTCTTCTCTCATTTCTGCCTTTTAGTTTTAGTAATTTCACTAAAATTAACTGTTTTTCCACATCAATAAGCTCCAACTCCAACATGATCCGCTCTCTTTCAGTCGCCATTGCTTGTAGTAACCTAACCATGAGGAATCTAAACACAGTGGAACATTAAAACCCTCCGCCACCAACTAGTGTTTCGGAGCAGTACTGCAGAGCAACCAAGACCTGAACGCAGAAGGATAAATGCTCACGACGGTGTCGCCTACGTGCATAGCCTACGCCGTACACTACGGCATACCCTCGACGTAGAAGTATAAATTGGCCTTAAGGGTCTTATCTAGCGAAACGATCAGTCATTTCAAAAATAAATAAAAAAGTTTATGTTTTATAAGCACAAATGCTCATCTTGCTCTGTTCTGTGATGAGCGTTCGTGACTCTCCTGTTCAAACTCGTTCATCAAAATGAACAAATCTTTTTTCGAGTCATGCCTCGAAGGGTCCTAGACAAGACCCTTAATCATCGCCTGATGTCGTTTAAAGCCCTTTGAATCAGCACTGAAACTCTCATTGGGACCTTGAACCGTTTGGTTCCCAATGACGTCCATTATATGGAGAAAATCCTGGAATGTTTTCATCAAAAACCTTAATTTTTTTTCAACTGAAGAAAGAAAGACGTGGACATCTTGGATTACACGGGCGTGAGTAAATTATCAGCAAAAGTTTTTTTTTTTTTTTTTTTAAAGTGAACTACTGCCTTAATGTAGGAGAGATAGAGAGGAGAGAGAGAGAGTGAGAGAGAGAGAGAGAGAGAGAGAGAGAGAGAGAGAGAGAGAGAGAGAGAGAGAGAGAGAGAGAGAGAGAAAGTACAGGCATTGACGCATGATATGAGTAGCCTATAGCAGATTCGGGGAGGGGCCAGTCATTCCTGCATTTGGGTGTGCTTTACAACCCTTTAAAACCACACAGCACTACAACACAGTTTATTTTGAGGAAGGTTGCCAATGAGGGTTTGTTGAATGGAAAAGAGTATTGTTTACTTCTCATAACTACTTATGCGGTACATTTCTTTGGCATTGACCGAGTTTCTACATTGAAAAGTTAAAGGAAAATACATTTCAGCGCATCTTTCATTGATAGGTAAGTCTTTCAAATAATTCTGCATGTTTTTACATTGAAGACCTAGGCTATTACAGTCTGTCGTACGTAAATAGTTTGACCTGACACTTTTATAAAAATGAATTGTTTTCTGTAAATAGATTCACCCGTAGATCTAAGATTGTTCCCCTTTCAGTGTTTACTTCAACTTTTACTTAGATTTTTTCTTCTTCTTCTTTTCCAGCAGACATTTTACTATCAACAATCCTCTTCATCTGAGGTTCATCTGAGCAAAGATGAGCATTTCAAAGTAAGTTGAGTAGTCCACTGCACAACTGAATGCATGTGATAGCCTATTACAGAAAGTAGATCATTTGCTTCAGTTAAGTTACAGTTTGGGTTCAAATGGATTTTCGGATATTTGATCACAAAACTTTGTCACATTGTTCCACATTGTCTGGGACCACTTGTGAAAATGTTGTGAACATTTTAAGAATCTGAAGAACCATTTTCCACCATAAAGAACCTTGTTTGGGAATGTAGATGTTAAAGTTTCTTCATGAGACCATAGATTCCGATAAAAACCTCTTTTTAAGAGTGCATGATTTCCGGGTTTACATTAGATTTTATTTGCAATGTCATCTCAGACTCTTGGACCCCAATGTATGTCTCTGTATTTTCCAAATTGTCTAACATAGCTTTTTCCCCATGTGTTTTCACAGACCATATGGATGCAATTACTCTTTCCCTGAGGTTGTGATGCCAGTGGATTTGGCCATGCATGCGCAAGTTAGCCCACAGCTCATTGGCATGTCCTCTCTCAGGCCTTCTTCATCCAACATGTCCTCACCGGAGCTTCTAAGAGCCAGACTTTCACCTCCTTCCCCAACATCTTCACTGTCTTCCTCCAGCTCTGGCAGCTCCCTGTCCTCGTACTCTCCTGAAAGCAGCACGCTACGCAAGAAGAAGCGAGTCGTTTTCGCTGATGCTAAAGGCCTCGCTCTCTCCTCCGTGCGCATCTTCACCGCGGACCCATCGGAGACTGAAACAGAAGATGCCCCACAACCAGAGGAGTGTGTGAAGGCTAGAGCACCCATACAGAGCATGAGACTGCGACTGAAGCTTGGTTTTCCACAGCCTGTTGTAGACCGTGCAAGCTTGAAGGTAAACTTCGTGCAGCTGGAGAGCTGTAGCGTGACCGAAAGGGTGTTGAGCGGAACTGTACGGGTCTGCAACCTTAAGTGTGACAAGACTGTCTTTATCCGAATAACTTTTGACTCATGGCGAAGCCAGAAAGACATTGCATGCACTTATGTGAGAGAACAACATACAAATTTGGAGACCAAATTGTATGCTTTTAATGTGTCTTTACCGTCCGAGCTGAACCAAAAGGACCGCCTGGAATTCGTAGTGGGATTCCAATCCGGCAGCTTGAAGCTCATAGACCACAACAATGGAAAAAACTACCAGATTTATGTGGAAAACGTGGCATCGGAACCTCGGCTGGTGATGCCAAGCAGGCGGAACTTCGTTACACCAAGTCCTCAACGTCTTTCTGTGTGGCCTGTGGTCAGAAGTCATCCTCTACAGATCGCGAAAAACCTGGCATGCAAAAGCCCACCCTACCCAGACCGTCTGGTACACAGGACCTGGGGAAGAATGACAAATGTGGCTCCATTGTGTTAAGATGGGACTGAGACACTTGTGTGGTCCATATTTCTACCTAAGAATGACTTCATGCGCCCCAGTGTTGTACATATCACTTACTTGAATGGACTATCTTGCTTGGTGCTTGCTAGTTTGCACATGCTGCCGAGGCAGTGAAATGTGAATGTTTACATTAGCCTAAGTTTATTTGATTTTAATTTGCACATTACATTTAATAATACAAGTTTTATGGGGAAACATTCCTGTGTCTGAAGAAGTAAATTAACATGTAAAGTGCAGAAGAATCTTTTGTATGTATGTATGTATGTATGCATGTATGTATAAATGTATATATTATTTATTTTGAACTATGTCATTAAAAGGAACTGCTTGATATGAACTTTTGCATGATTTTTGTGTCTTGCACAAAAGTACGTGTTAGTACGTGCCTGGGGCATTGTCATGCCTAAACTGGTCACACAACTTAGTGTATTATATCAAGACACTCCTCTGGCCTATTACCTAACTGAAACCACCTAGCAACCAGACAAACAATTAGTGTGAAAGAATGTTCCAGATGTTCTAATCGAATAGAACATTTCATTCCAAACCACAACCACATGTACAGCACATTATGTTACTCTCCTGACAGGTTATCAATGTAAGTTAATATTAGAGTATTACATAAGTATTACACTTTATTTCGATACTCCACTTTAGGCTTCTACTAAGTAACGTGTGATTCTAAAACAGCTAAAACGTGTTTTCTAATTGTATTTATTTGTGAACTAACTGTACAGACAGTATATATATATATATATATATATATATATATATTAGGGCTGTGCAAAGATGAATTGCGATTAATCGCATCCAAAATAAAAGTTTGTGTTTACATAATATATCTGTGTGTGCTGCGTATAATTATTTTGTATATATAAATGCACACATCCATGTATATAATTAAGAAAATGTGTTATTCATCTATAAAATATTTTTATATATATATATAATATAGATTATGTATGTATATGTAATTGTAAATAAACACAGTATTTACACTTACATATACATGCATGCATATGTATTTATATATACAAAATAATTACACACATCACACACAAATATATTACAGTATATAAACAAAAACCTCTGTTTTTTTTCTGTTACCTTTGTGGATGTTTATTCAGTCAAATGTTTATCGCGTAAAGAATCGTTACACTGATTCAAAGCGATTTCAAAACAAGTTTGTGAGTGCAAGTTTAATTAGCCATGCAGGAAACTTTCAGTAAAAGATCTTGCTGGATAAACATCTTTGTTGTTTCTGGAACTACATTCTAATGCATTCAGTGCCCAAGGGATGAGTTTAAAAATTGAAAGAATGCTGTTAGGGGTAGAAGATAGACATCATAGAAAAAAAAAAAATCATATTACTGTAAATTTTTTGTAATTAACTATTGTGTCTTTTGCTTGTTCAATGTGCAGTGGAGTGTACAGGAGTTTTGTCATAGCACTCACATGTACATGTACTGTATGTGCATAAATACACTGTATGTATGCGCAACTGATGAACTTTACAGTTACTAAACTGAACTGAATTAACACTGAAGTGACTTGAGCTGAATTGGCTTTTTAGAGCTGCTTTACAGCTGACTTTGAATTTGTTACTATTGTGAAGCTGCTTTGAAACAGTCTGTGTTGTATGAAGTGTTACAAAAATAAAGGTGTCCTCTATTCATTGTGATAGGTTTTTTAAACTGATCATTAAAAAAAATCCTACAGGAATAACATTTATATGCTTTTGAAACCTAAATGTTTCCAAACACTTTGGTTAGTCAGTCAGTGTGTGTTTGTCTCACCATGTGTAAATCAAGAAATAAGGGTTTGCTTCTAGTAACTGAAGGGTTTCTTTCTTTCTGACAACATAGAGTTTTGATTTCAAAGTGGTCAATTTATGTATAAGTGTTTTCACACGATCATTGGATGCGGGTAACAGAAATGATTGTGGCAATAACATTTTTCTAAAAGAAACACAAGAGCTGTTAGTCTTGAATGATGTGTGTAATGTATAAAACTGTGTTAAACGTTCAGCAAAAAGTTTGTTTTACAAATGCAAACTGAGTGCACTGTATATAATATGCTTGCAGTTTTGCAGACTTGGTCTGAAGATTAGGTATATGAGTGAATGGTTAAACTGAGTTGGCCTCAACTCAAGTATTACTTATAGTGTGTAAGCAATTAAAAAAAACATTCATTTTTCTAGATAATAACATGCTGTAGTTATAAATGTAATTTGAGGTAAATCACCTTTCCTGAGGTAAATAGTTTACAAGCTGTTTTATTGACCTCTAACGTTTGAAACCCCGTTTGATTGATTGAGCGATTAAATAAGACATGATCAGTTCACATGCCACTTCAACTGAAGAGCTACAGCGATCTGTCCCTTAACATTTAAGAACATTAATTGTTTGAATTTCGCAAGAAAATGGATGTGTGACGTGAGAGCGTGAGAACAGTGTCCATTGCGTGAGTCTCGTTCTGAATGAATGCGTGAGAGTTGGCACTCCTGCCATACATTCAATAAGGCCTGGATTAGCCCATATATGGTTCTCTTAAACAATAAATGTCTTGAGAATACCTATGAAATGAGTCTTCCCTCCATCACATTTTTTCCATATTCTGTTCTGAGGCCATATTGAGAAACTAAATTTCACAAGCAGGAGAATTAGAGGTTTCGTGAACTGAGTTGCTTAAGTGTGTGGCGGTGAACAACTCTCTCTGTTCTCCATCTCAACTCTAGACTGGAATTTGTGATATCAAGTTTTGGTGTGATTTGTTCAGCCCAGGACTGGAATGCCGTAGGCGTGGGAGTTTGCCATCTAGTACTCTATTACAAGTTTAGTTCAGTCTCTCCAGTTTGCACTTTTAATTATGTAAGAAACTAACCTGGGCTGTGTTTCTTAAAATCATCATAAGCCTAAGTTGATCATGAGACCATTGGTGATAATTGTTCTATGACCAACTTAGGCTTGTGATGCTTTTGGGAAACCCTGTTCTATCTGTGAACAACCTACATCCACCACGCATGTGAACATGCACACTCGCAGTCTCTTATACCTTATCTTTTATCTTATAAGATAATGAGGAGAAAGGTGGGAACATTTCTAGGTCCTCTCAAGTCTCCTGCAAGAGAATGGTCCAATGGAAACGCTGTACGCACAGTAATAGAATCCCTTTACAAAGGTCCAGTATTCAAGTCTATTAGTGAAGTGCACAGACTGGGTTGCTCTCCAGAGGCTTGTGATCAGTGGTGTAAAGTATTTGAGTAAATGTATTTAGGTGTGGTTTCACTAAGATTAGCAACTTTTACTCTCTACTTGACTACATTTTTGAGCAAGCGCTGTAAATATCCTCTTTACTCCAATACATTTATAATGAGGCTTGTAACATTTTGCATGGCACCTTTTTCCGCAGCAGTTTATTTCTGCTACAAAAAAGTGATATGTCCATCTAAAGTGGATTAAAGGTACTACATGAGACCAGTGAAAGTGCAGTTCTGAGTCTCTGCCCATTCATTTAGATAGGAGCCTGCCTGATCTTGTTAGTCCGAAATAGCTGCCCGGAGGCATTGCCAAAATGGTGGCTGAGTGGCATGACTTGCCTAAATGGACTTTGGTTTTATCCAAAGTTGAACATTTTTCAACTCTCGACGGCCAGTAAAAAATGCCGGTCGCTCGGCGCTTCAGCGTGAAGAAAACGTTCAGCGTCTTTGCGCTGATGGCGTTTAAAAAACGTTGTGCTCCCATTGAAAACATACGCCAGGCGTGTGGAAAAATGCTTTGGTACTTTGGACACACGGTCTTAGATACTTAAGTAGCCTAAAGTTAAAATCAGATACCCTAAAGCCTGGTTTCACAAACGGGGATAGGATTAAGCCAGGATTAGCCTTAGGGAAAAAAAAAAAAAACATTACTGGTGTGCATCTTGAGACAAAACAATGGCAGTGACATATGTTAAGATATGCAAGGTGCTTTCAGTTAAAACAGTGGACGTTTCACAGACGTAGGCTTACTTTTAATCTTGTCCGAATCAGCCATGTCAGTGTTTTTCCCGCAGAAAATTCTAGGGGAAATTACCTATTGTTTTTCAGCAAACTCAATGGTCCTCTGAGAAATCTAATCCGTCTGAATGCGAATGTCTGTGATTGCTGATGTTGTGATATTCTAACGCTTCATGTGGTGATTATGCATTTTGATCAGAATGGGTCGGCCCTTGTAAATCTTATACAGATGGGATTCACTATATGATGCGATTCATTCTTACAGGAATGACAGGTTCTGCTCAGTCCTATACTGTCACCTCTGATGATGCAAGTTTTTAAAACGGCCAAAAGTCAACAACACCTCGTTCACTAGGAAACTGTTTTAGCATGACACCAAACAAACCATCGTCACCAGCTACCCATTCATTCATTTCAATGAACAAACTGAAGATAAGCATCTATTACATCTGGATATACATAGATACCCGTTAATTTATATAGGCAAAATGAAGACTATACATAGTATAGTATATGTATAGCCTTCATTTTGCCCAATGAATGGGTATCTATGACCACCTATGGACCACCCACATGTGGTTTTTCGAGAAATGAGAAGCTGAAAATGACTTTCGCATGAGTCTTCCCCCTTTCTTCTACTGCAAACTCTAAAACAGGGACAAGGGAATCATTGTGAGGCCCAACCCACCCAGACCGAAGCAATATTGCGTAAATAGATACCGCAGGCATTAGGGTAAAAGGTTTTGTGCCTGGATGGTGTGAATATAAAGCAGGGAAACACTATGTTCTCCACCTCCAACGACTTATAGTGATTTGTTCAGCCAAGAAAAGTGAGGCGAACACACTGGAATGTCCTCGTAACTGTGGGAGTTTGTCATTGACACCTGTCCCTTGTCATGCGAGTTGATTTATGCGTTTTCAAAGTGTCTCCCCCTCTAGCAGTTTATGTTTGTAATGATGTCAGAAACAAACCTGCTACTACTCAAAAACACAACGTGCTGTTGTCTATGGGTGTGTTTTTTGTCTTTTAGTATGAATGTTACTGCTATCTTTAAAGGAGAACTCCGGGGCAAAATTAACCTTTGGTCTAATTACACATTGTTACCTAGTCAACCGTTATCTGAGATTTGTTTTCATGATTGCCGAATGTAAATAGTTTTAGCTCTAAAATCACTGTAGCCTATAATGCTAGTATAACGCTAGTATATAGGGCATAGAGTAATGACAAATAAAAACTGCTTGTTATTACCACTAAAAAGGCTCAAAATAGCCCAACACTAACACCGTAGCATAATAAGGGTCCCTACATTCAAACCGAAGCATTGAGAACTTTGTCAGTG